CCTCAGCCTCACAAGTAGCTGGGATGACAGGCACATGTCACCACGCCTGGCTAAATTTTTGTATTTTTAGTAGAGACAGGGTTTCACCATATTGGCCAGGCTGGTCTCAAACTCCTGATCTCAAGTGACCTGCCTGCCTTGGCCTCCCACAGGGCTGGGATTACAGGCGTAAGCCACTGTGCCTGACCCATAGGAATTTATTCTTGCAGAGTTCTGGGGGTTAGAAATCCAAGATCAGGTTGTTTTTTTTCTAGAGAATCCGAGGAAGAATCTTCCCTGCCTCTCTCCTGGGTGGTGGTTGCCAGCAATCCTTGGTGTTTCTTGCTTGGCCTGTCGCGGCATAACTCTAGTCTCTGTGTCAGCCTTCCCATGGCATTCTCCTCTGTGTCCACATTCCCCCCCCCTTTTTTTTTTTTATAAGGATACGTATTATTAGATTAGAACCCACCCTAATCTAGTAAGTATGATCTCATTTTGAATTTGATTTGATCTGCGAAGACCCTATTTCCTAATAAGGTCACGTTCACTGGTATCTGGGGTTAAGATTTCAACATATGTTTTCAGGGAGACACCATGCAACCCAGAGGAGTATAAAACAAAAAGAAAAGAAAACCCTGTGTAAAATAAAAATACAACCAAAACCCTGAGCAGGACATGGGAAGACCTGCTGACCAACCTTCTCCTCCCCTTTGGGTTACCCTCACCCTCTCTACTTCCCGGCTTCTCCACTGTAAAGGAAGGTTGTCATGCCTGCCCTGCTGACTTCAGAAATGCCAGGAGAACCAAATAGAATAATGTAAGTGAAAGTATAATTATAAGAAAATATTTCTTTAAGTGCAAGGAATTATTAAGAATTCATTCCAGATTGTGTTGACTTTCCTTAACTTCGTAACTACTTAATGAATAGGCAATGGAATAAGAAACACAGCCCTACTGGGAAGACAATTTAAATTACATACCTCCCTTCATTTAGGGTTTGAGATAAATGTCCAATAGCAATCTTTAGATAGGGATAGTAGTATTGCTGATCCTTGTTCAATGGGCTTTTTACTCACACCGAAACAGGGTGGTATTCAAGTGAAGCTAAAGGGTGGCAAGCAATTTAAAAGCAAGTCAAGAGACCTAATGTTCACATCCGGGGCATCAATAGACAGTCATGGCTCTCCTTCCCTGTCTGTGTGGTCCATAATGCTACTGGCTCCCATAGCAATATCCTGATAATAGCTTTGAATTTGCTTTGTCTGATGACTTCTCTGGATATAGGGACATAGATCACTCAATTTATAAAATTAGCTAAAGAAGCCACTTTCCTGACAAATGTTTCATATGCTCCTGTATATTACACAAACAAAACCATTGTGTAGCCAGAAAAAATAAAAAGATAATCTGATTTTTTTAAAAAGCCCCTTTTCCTTTCCCTTTTTTAAGAGCCCAAAAGTTCTAACAATGATAGGATAACTTTTTTTAGGCCACCAGATTAAGTCAATGGAACTTGGAAGGCAAAGATGGCCACATGTATTTAAAATGCCAAAAAGAGGTGTCATTGGGATAACAATTTGAGAACTATTGTTATATCCAAAGCATCATGTGACCTACTTGAGTGTTACTGATGACCATATTAGTGATCTATTCCATTGACCTTGGACTGTGGGGGTTTGCTGACCCAGGAGAAATCCCACAGGGGAAAAATAGCCCCAGTAAAAAAGAAACAAAGAGGCTCTCAGAAAGCAGTTTCCAATCTGCCCTGCAAACTGAATCCTCCATTTCTCACTGCTGGGTGTATAGGCTTCCCAGGGGCTGCTGTATACTTTCAGAAATATGCCAAAAGTCACACACAAGCTAACAAATGAAACTTTATTTTCCTTTAATACAAAAATTAAATAGCAAGGGGTTTTCTTTGTACAGTGATAAATTAGAAATTTACAGTACAGACATCAATGCAGACATACTTTTGTACATCCTTAAAAGCAGGGTCCATTTCCTTTGAAATTTAGCAATTTATTCAGGGCAGGTGTAGCAGGAAGTTTGCCTGGTACCTCTTTGTTAAACATCTGAAAGTCCCCCAGGTTGGCTTCAAGGTTCCTGGAGCTGTGGGGTGGCATGAGGTTCCAAGAAAGGCCACAGAGCATCCAGCCCGACTGCTGCACAGAGCAGGGGGAGTCACATTTTATCTTTTTGCAGATTATACCTGATATTTCATCCATCTTTCTTACAAAGAACTCAAGGGGCCTTCATTTTTTTTTTTTTTTTTTTTTTTTTGCCTTTTTAAGCCTCACAACATCCCTGTGAGGTAGACTAAATTCAGAAACACCTCCATGCCTCACTGGGAGAGATCTAGAAAGCAGCTTACCCCTCCCAAAGCCCACAGCCAAGTCAGGGCCGCAGCCTATTAATATGACTTGAAAACTTTTACCACCTGGGAGAGAAGATGGACCCGACCTTTGTAGGGCAGAATGGCTCTTGCCCCTCTTTTCAGAAGCCTTCTGGGATGACAGTGGTCATGTACTGAATACTATAAAAGAGCAAGGAGGTATAAAAGCTTTGAGGACATGGCTCATTTAGGACCCCAAAAAGGTCCTTTACGAATTGCCTGGGTAAATTCTGGGAATTTGCTGATGCAAAGAAGAGGAGAAAAAAGGTACATCAGAAACAGAAACAGGTTACTATCAGGGCAACTGAGCTTGCAAAGGGGAAGAGGCATGTTGGGGGATCTCTAAGTCACTTGTCTCCTAGCACTGTCAAGTGTGTCATCACTGCACACGTGCATACCAAGAGACAGCAACAGAAAGCTCTATGTAGGCTAGACTGAAATGAAATCCATTATGTAAGGCTCTGGTATCTGATCCTTGGTAGGAGCAAAATGCTCTCGAACGAGTTTCCAAGATCTATGACCTAACCCCAGAGGAAAGTGATAACCCAGGTCATCTGCCAGACATAATACAAACCCAGATCAGAACTCTGAACTCAAATAAAATAAAGGAACCAATGAATTTTCAGAGTACAGTGTCTTGATATGACTGACTGGAATAGCAACTCTCTCCAGTGCCCTCTATCACAGAACAAAATACAAGATATAAACTGAATTTAAGAGGTTCCTTCCAGGCCAGGCATGGTGGCTCATGCCTGTAATCCCAGCACTTTGGTATGCTGAGGCAGGCAGATCATGAGGTCAGGAGTTTGAGACCAGCCTGGCCAACATGATGAAACCCTGTCTCTACCAAAAATACAAAAATTAGCCAGGTGTGATGCAAGCCTGTAGTCTCAGCTCTTGGGAGGCTGAGGCAGGAGAATAGCTTAACCTGGGAGGTGGAGGTTGCAGTGAGCCAAGATTGTGTCAGTACATGCTCCAGCCTGGCAACAGAGTAAGACTGTCTCAAAAAGAAAAAAAGAAAAAGAGGTTTCTTCCAAAGTCTGTGGCTCTCTTCCCTAAATGTAGCCGTGGACATCTCACCAGAAATCTAACATTGCACCAGTCTGGTGAAATACCTGAGTCTGTCCCTCTAGGGCTGAGGCTGTTGAGCTCTTTTTATCCTCAGGTCCCAGCTTGGTTCTCAACCCAATAAGCATTTAATTAGGTGACCATGAGGATGAGGAGCCAGAGAGCATAGAGGTAAAGGTGCTGGACAGAATCCCAATTCAGAATCTAGACACACAAGTTTCCCAGAACGAGTTTGGGGCAGGCGTCCCCAAACTATGGCCCCACGGGCCACATGCGGCCCCCTGAGGCCATTTATCCGCCCCCCCCTCCCCCGGCACTTCAGGAAGGGGCACCTCTTTCATTGGTGGTCAGTGAGAGGAGTACAGTATGTGGCGGCCCTCCAACGGTCTGAGGGACAGTGAACTGGCCCCCTGTGTAAAAAGTTTGGGGATGCCTGGTTTGGGGAGTGCAGGTGAGAGAGTGACCCAAGAGAGGAAAGTCAGAGAGCATCTCTGAAATTTAAAAAGTGTCACCCTTTTTCCAGTTTCAGGCCCAAGTAAGTTGCCAGCTCAAAAACAGTCTCAGAGATCAGGAAATGGGTCTCCATAAAAGAAAGAGGATGTGAATCAACCAAGTAGTTCGACCAGATGGTTCTGGCCAGCTCCATTCTACCCCATATTCCTTTGCCCTGAGGTTTGGCCTTTATGAAGCAGGAGAAAGGAGTCTTCCACAAAGTAGGTTGGACAGAGGTGCCATTGCACCATGTATAATCTCTGGAGCCCAAGGGACTTCTGAAAAAGCTACAATCAGACCCATTTACTGTAGGTTTCAGAAAAAGAAAAACAATGCTCACCTTTTCTCTAGCAAGATTCTGTCCTCAAATATACCTACACAAGTCACATGGAGCACCCCAAGCCCTGAACTGCCGGCTCCCAGAGCCAAAGCAGATGTGTGAGCCCGTGTCTTTGTGGCCTATTCTTAATAGTCTTCCTAAGGGATTTCTACAGAGATTGTCATGAAGCAGAGCTGGTGCTTTCTGTTAAAACCACCTGTAACTGACTTGGAAGGAATCCTCGGAAAGGGAAAAGAGATATGTTAAAGGTAGAGAGACCCAGGAAGAGATGTAAGGAATGGAGGCAGTGAAACAGATGGGAATTCCAGAGGTCCCTGCTCCTTTCCCAAAGGAACAGTAAAGTTCGGCAAACGTGGGTGCATCCCCACCCTAGATCAGTTAGAACAGAGATGATCTATTTCAGGGCTTTATATACAGTTGGCACCCAATAAATATAATGATAACTGACTTTTTTAAAAACAAATACTGACTTAAGCGGTGATGGAGTTGATTGAAGGTCACTGGTAACTGACTCCTCAGCCACAGAGTTCTTTTCCTGAAACCATGAACACTCTCCATTGTCTGGAATGTGAAAGGAGAGGTCTATAACCCTTTAACATTGCTAAGGCTACTAATCCAACTGGCCACTTCTGATCAAATATACTTTGCTCCGAAAGGCAAGAGATTTATGGAACAGGCATCTCAAAACACTAGCTCCAGAACTCAAAACTCAGAAATCAGGGGCCCAGGTTCACCCAAGTGCTCTTTTATTGTTAGTCATTGACAAGAATTGATCACCTACTCCATGCCTGGCTTTCTGCCAGATGCTGCCTTGGTCACACGATCACTGAAGTGTTATGAAGAAAACCGCATTACAAACCCCTATTCTCTCACGGCAAGACCAGTCCCCTACTGCCTGGTCTTCTTTCCCCTGCCTGGGCTAGAGTCCCTGTACAACTCCCAAGACACCAGAGCAGAGCGTGAGTAAGGGCAGGCTCTGGCCCTGGGTGCGTGCTCCAGGGCCCTGGACAGTTATGGGAACTGTCTACAAGCAGCACAGGGAATTCACATTTTACATTTCATAGGCAATGTAGGATCAGATGCAGTTAAAATGGTTCTTCTGGGGATCAATCTCATGCTCCTGGAGCCTGACCCAGAACCTAGCCAAGGTACTCACACTGGGCACACAGCAGCAGGGGCCACCTGTGCCCACTTAGCTTCTGTCTCAAAAGCCGAGATCCTTGCCTTCCAAAATACACAATGGACCTTACATGCATCTTGATGTTATATAGCTCAAAAACCAAACAAAAACAGTAAGGAAAGAAGAAGGGAAATGTCAAACTATGGGCATAAGGCTCAAACCAAATTTAACAAAAGAAGAATGCTTATTTCCAGAATTTGACCACCTATTTTGAATTTTGAGTCCCTGGAAATGTTTTTCCACAAAGTGTGATTGAAAAAAAAAAAAAAGAGCTTCTCTTCCTATTTAAAGGCCATCAATTAATAAATAAATGAGTCATTGCAAAGCAGTTGCTGAAGCAGATAGGTATGAGTTACAAGGAGAGAAACCTGTGACACAGTCAACAATTTGTCCCTAAGATCTCATGATTAGAAGGCCTAAGGCAAGGTAAGAGAAAGGCCAGTTACAGTTTTAAGAGAAGTGCAATTTTTGAGAGGCTGCTAGGGGGTACCCCCTTGTGAAGAATGTATAGGATAAATTTTAAAAGCTTTGGATACCTCCGTAAAAGGCAATTAAGACCTGTGCTATTAGAGTTTGCATTTCATTTCATATGGTCTACACTTTATTCCCTACTAACCAATCAAGCTTCTGGCTGGCATTCTGGAGATTCATTAAGCACCATATAAATACTCCAGGCCACACTGCCTCCAATGAAATCTTACAAGGAGACTTTGCCAATTACTAGGAAACAATTATGCACCAAGTAGTTGGATTAGCCGTCCTCAGTTCCCTTTATAAAACTGAAAAAGTCTCCATTGTCGTAAGTAGACCAGACTCTGATAACATTCTTATGCTAAAAAAAAAAAAAAAAAAAAAAAAGGCACTATCACTCTGAGAATGCAAGTTGAAGCTGACCATAGTTTTAAAGTCAGTTGAGTATACTATGTCATGGTCCAAGAATGTGCTTTTAATTGTAATTGACACACACAAATTACACAGCTAATCTGTGTGAATGCAAAGTTGCCAAGAAACTTAACATTTCAGCTCTTCCAGACTGGCGTCTGCATAGATGCAATCACACAAGTAAAATATATTAAGTCCCCACTGCTCAATGCAATAGGTCTCTGGGGTCGGTCAGGTAAGTCAACTTAGTAAATTTCATTTTCCTCTGAATTAAGTGATTGTCAGAAAGTGAATCACCCTTCCTTTTCCCCTGTTTAAGCATGCTGCAGTGCAAAAATTCCTATAAAAATACCTTTTTTTGAGTCATTAATGTAAAATGAAGAAAACAGCAGCAGCCCAAAACAGAGATGTTGAAATTTAAGAGAGGAAAGAGAGAAGAAAAATCTACTGGATACCTTATGTGAGTACAGTACTTTTGTTTGTTAAACAATTCTGTTTTATGACAAAGGCACTGAAGGATTCTAACACCACCTCTTGGGAGTGCGATCCACAAAGTTCTAAACAGCAGACAGTGCACCACAGAAGATGTTTATGTTAGATCAGCCAAACTATAAAACTCTTGTAACACTTCTCTGAACCCAGTGTTTCCAGTGTTTATAGATTGCTTTGCTATCTGAAAGACCCAGTTAGTATTTAAAATTGTAAAGGGTTAAAAAAGTTAATCTTTCTCCCTGCAAGTTACCAACTCACAGCTCAAATCCCACCCTGCAGGGGAAAACAGTATCGCCCTGAACTTCCTGGAATCTAGGCAGGACCTCCACACTCCAAGCTGCGACCTGCTAAAGTGATCAACGTTTTGATTTTTCACAGCTTTGAAAGCCTCTAACTGGCTTTTCCATTTTGGATCATTCCAAAGTCTGCAGCAAAATCATTGTGTTTTTTTTTTTTTTTGATGCTGGGGTCAGGATGGGAGGCAGTGGGTTGATGGGAGTCACTTAATTGTTGCTAGTTTGTATGAGATTCACTGCATACAACTTTTAGTAGAATTTCCACCAAAATGCTGGCAATCCCCCCTCCTTCAAAATGAAGGAAGCTTGGAGGCTGGCTAGCCTTATACCACAGTCTCATTGCCTTTCCCAGGCTTCACCCAACCATTTCCTCTCTTCTCTCTCTTTACCTTTCCAGAATTCACCAATCTGTTGGAACACTTCTGCCACGTGTGAAGAGTTTTCGCAGACCAAATCCACATGCCTGAAGTGATGCCCACCAGCAAAGACATAAAAATTTTTAACATTTCAACAGCCATGTTGGAATCATCTGCAGAATACCGAAAGAGTGCCCAATTGGAGATTTCATAAAAATAACAGGCAATCACACACGTTGCAGGAACTGTGTACAGGACTGAGAAGACCCCAATCTTGACCATCAGTCTTTCTAATTTGTCTGTCTTTGTCCCATCCTTTTGGAGATTTGACCGAATTTTGAACAAAGCCACCAAACCTGCAGCAATGAACAAAGTTCCAATCACCAAATAAGTAAAGAGGGGAGCCACCACGAACCCAGTGAGGGCATCGAGATTTTGGTTTCCAACATAGCACAGGCCAGTTAGTTCATCTGCATCCACCAGTCTCATAATCAAGATAACAATGGTTTTCACTGCGGGGATGGCCCAGGCCGCAATGTGGAAATAAGAGCTGTGCATTTCAATGGCTTCGTGACCCCATTTGAGTCCTGCTGCCAGAAACCAAGTGAGTGTCAGAATAACCCACCAAATGGAGCTGGCCATTCCAAAAAAGTACATCAGCAAGAAAATTATTGCACATCCTGTGTTCTTAAGTCCTTCTTGGATGAGAACGGGTTCTGCTGCCTCTTCAAAATCACAGGATATCCTTTCCCGGCCTACAGTCAGCCTGACAATATAAGCAATGCTATAAATATTATAGCACATACTGAGAAATATGATGGGGCGCTCAGGGTAGGAAAACCTAGAAGAATCAATCAGGAAGGTCAGTACTGTGAAGGCAGTGGAGATGAAGCACAGGCTGGCCCACACAGCCATCCAGATATCGGTGAACTCCTTGGCTGGGCGGCTGTATAAGCCAGCATCATAGCCACACTTGAGAACACAGTTCAGGCTTCTTTTCACCCAGATGTACTGATCGGAATTGGTTCCCACAGAGTGACACTCTTCCCCAGGCTGGATGGGGGTTTTGTGAGGTAAGGGCACCTCTTCATCACCTGGCCCTTCCATGCACATATGGTTGTGGTCATTCTGTGGTGGGAATTTGCTGCAGTTCAAACTCTCTGGCCAGGCAAATCCAAATTCCTTCAGGACGGGTTCACAGCGCCTCTTGACTGAAAGACACATGCCACCACATGGGCCAATGGGGATGTTGATCTTCTCTGTGCACATTGGCACATAAACAGAACAAAGGAAGAACTGGAAGAGTAACAAATGAACAATGAAAAAACAATGACTTGGAAGTCTGACCAAATGTTCCCACAAAGCTGAGCTGAATGCTTCCAGGCTATGTACCTAACTACTTTTAAACCAACCTATAGGGAGTCTGTCTGTTTACTCAGACCTTAAACAAGGGTGCCTGATAATCCATCACTTACACACTTTTCCTAGTTTGGCTCTAGTAATCCTTTCTAGAGGAATGTACATTAAAAAAATAAAATAATTAGGTTCTAAAGAACTGCATAAGCCCTCTTTGCACAGCACTTGAAATAAACCTTAAAAAACTGGCTTTCCCATCTCCTTCCCTTTTAGATACTATTTGAAAAAGCTCAAGAAACTAATATGACTCAGTCAGTTAGGGGGTTTATTTTTATCCCCATTTCTTTATCATTTTAAGAATAAAAGGTAAAAAAAATATAGATCTTATTAGTATTCTCTTCTCCCTACTTTATCCCTTAAAAATTTGTTTAAACTAGACCCATACAGAAACAGAAAATGGCCCAACTGAGACACTGTTAGACTCAAGGATGGGATGCAGATTGAGGTCTATGGTCACTAGGGATTTGTTTGGCCAGGTTTCCTCAATGAATAATAATGAAGCACAACAGGAAAATGTAAATGTTAAGTCGCTGAAACTGCAATAACAGCAGGGGAGAGTCCAGTTGCTGTCCTCAATTCCTCCAGCATTGATAAACAGTCTGCTTGGCTCCTTACAGATGTTGTCTATGAAGTCTAGAGTTACAAGTAACTATTTTCCAGCATGTAAAGGGATCCAGTCTTGTCCTTCAAAACAGCCTGGCTGTCTCCCCAGGATACATGTAATTAAAAATATATATCCCTGCAAAAGCTGTTTCTCCAACAAATTGCCACTGATGTCAGGATATGTGCTGTTTCCAAACTGAGAGCTGGAGGATCATTTCTTAAGCTTTTATAACCTAGTTCTAAAGTTCTGAAACTTCCAAAGGGATATTTCACCAGCAACAGGTCTAATCCCGACCATCTTTCCAAAACCACAAACCAAGTTTTAAAATGACCTATGTAAAAACATGCACCTAATAAGTAAGCTGTATGTCTGTTTTTTATCTCTCAGAAGTTACAGCCAGAACCACAGATTTCTTTTCTCTTTTCTTTTTTTTAGACGGAGTCTCGTGCTGTTGCCCAGGCTAGACTGCAGTGGCGCTATCTCCCCTCACTGCAACCTCCCGGGTTCAAGCAATTCTCCTGCCTCAGCCTCCAGAGTAGCTGGGATTACAGGCATGCGCCACCATGCCTGGCTAATTTTTGGGTTTCACCATGTTGGTCAGGCTGGTCTCGAACTCCTGACCTCATGATCCACCTGCCTTGGCCTCCCAAAGTGCTGGGATAACAGGCGTGAGCCACGGCACTGAGCCAGACCACAGATTTAGTCTGGACAATTAAGGTCTACTTCTTCCCACAATTTCTCTCTTTTCTAAATTTCTAAAAATCACCCAGCCTCACCAATCAAAACATAATCCATGTTAACACTTTAAAAATGTTTCTTTCAGTCTTTTATTCCCCCAATGAATTGTTTTTCTTTTTATTTTTTTTCTTTTTGCAAGATTATAATAACCCTGTATAGGCAAATTCTTATTACTGTTGAATAAACATTTTCCTTATCATTAAATAAGCTTTACATTTTTTAACGACTGCAAAAACATTTCTTCTAATATACCAACTACCTTCCTGCAGCTTCTTCTCACCCTCCAAGCATTAAATGTGACTTCAACTCTGAGGATAAGAAAGAACTCAAACCAATCCAACCACTCCTTCATGCATGACCTCTAAAACTCTGAGGGACACGGTGAGGAGGGGTAACTCAGCAGAAAACGGTGCAGTAGTGTTTTAATACCTCACCCCAAAAATAGTGGGCAGAGGGAAGGTTTGTGAGGGATGGTCCCCTTATCTCTCCCTCCAAGTCTTAGCTGCAGCTGGCTCTCTCCCACTAGCCCACCAAGCAGTGGTGGGCAGAATCCTTGGCGAGATAACCCTCAGCTCCACTGGGCTAGGGGTCTGGCCAGACATGGGTGGGCAAGAGAGAAAAACGGAAGGGCGGGGCGTAAGAGTGGGTTCTTTCCCAGGCCAGATGACTTACACAACGTTTTGGCTTCCAGTCCCTGAGAAAGTGGGGGTGGGGATGGAAATCACTTTTCCAGGAGAGCTGTCCCCTTCGGGCTAGGATGATCAACTTGGCATGGGCTTTGCAAAGTTAGTTTGGAGCGTCCCTCCCCAAGGGGTCCCGCCAGGGGTGGGGGTGGGGGCGCCCACCTGCAGCTGGCTGGAGCAGCCGTACTGGATGAGCGGTGTGAAAGTTGTCAGCTGCAGCTCGGCGTCCGTCTGCAGCTCGTGCCCCACCAGGTTGGGCATCTTGGTCACGTTGTAGCCGAGGTTCTGGCACATGGAGATGCGGATGGGGTCGCAGCGCCGTTCCTCCTCGTCTCCGAAGCCCCGCGCCGGCCCCACCAGCAGCAGCAACTGCAGCAGCCACCCCAGACTGAGCCCGACGCCCCCGGGGGCCCCCGAGACGCTCGGCCCTGCGCCCCGCCAGGCCATGGCCAGCGTCTGGGGCAGCAGTGGCGGCGGCGGGGGCTGCTCCGACAGACACCCCCAGTTTGCACGGGGGCGCCGGCTGCCCGCGCTGCTCCCAGCTCCCGGGAAGGGAGTGCGATACGGCGAAGAGGGGGCAGCGGTCGGCTCTCCGGCAGCTGCGCGCGACTGTGTGGGATATCAGACGCCCCGGGCCGAGACCGAGGGAAAGGCTGCGAGGGTCATGGCTGCAGGCGGCGAGCCCACAAGCCGGCGCCGGCCGCGTCCGCTCGGCGTCTCAGCGAAGCCAGCCAGCACCCTGCGCTGCGCAGCTCTCACCGCCCGAGCCCAGCGCGGCGCTGGAGGCTCGCGGCGCGGCGGCGGGGCGGGACGGACAGCGCGCCTCTCCAATGGCGGGGCGCGGTGGGCAGCGCGGGGCGGGGCGGCGGGGCGAGGCCGCTCTCCCGCTGGAAGGGTCAGGCCCCCGCCCTCCGGCCCCTCCTCCGGCCGCCCCTCCTTCCCTCCCTCCCTCCCTCCCCGAGCGCCCCGCCCGCCCGCTTCCCGGCTCTATCTTCCCTCCCACCCGGATCGTGGCGCGCAGGGGCCAGGCGGGGCACCGAGCCCAGTGGCTCCAGCCGTCCTGCTCTCTCCTCCCCCAGGTGAGAAGTGCGCCCTGTTCCATCTGCCCCCTTTCCTTCCCGTCTCCTTCCAGCTGTCACCTAGGTCCGCGGCCACCTCCCCGTCAGGCAGGGAAACGCACACAAAGAACACGGGATTTGGATAGACAACGAATGTGGCTTTCAGTCCCGCTGTGTGACCTTGAGCAAGTTGCTCAACCTCTCGGCGTCAGTCTTCTCCTCTGTGAAGTCACTTGGGAGGGTTAGAGATAAAGCGTAAAGGCTTAGCGCGGTGCCTGGTACTGCGCGGGTCCACAGCTATTTTCACTCCCGACTCGCGGCGATCCGGGCCCGGCCTCTCCCCGCCCCCAGACTCGGCGGACCTGCGCCGGGAACCGCCCACCTCCCGCCGCCGGGGGGAGGCGCCCCGGAGCTGCGGAGCTGCAGACCCGCCGACGGTCTCGCGTTCCGATTTCCTCACCGCGTGAAATGAAATTCCACAGGGGGATTCGAAAGGAAATGAGACCGGGACTCTCCGTGCTTCTCGGCCCGCCGCCCTTCCTGTCTCGGGGACACGGTTTCTAAATAAGGTTGGGAGGGTGAGAGGGCGGGAGGGGAGAGGCTTGACCTGTGCCCCGGGGCCGAGCAAGGCACACAGCCACCGGGACTCCTTTCTCCCGGGCACCCCTTCCCGACCAGCCTGCGCCCCTGTTTTCCTTACTCTGCTTCTGCGTCGGTTCGTAGGATCTGGGGATCATGCGACCCAGGTTTGTGTTTCATTTCAACCCAACTTTGGTGTTTCATTCCCATCAGCCCAGGGCTTTGTGCTGGTCCGCCGTCTCTCTCCTTTCCAGTCCACCAGTGAAACTCCCAGCAGGTGGATTCCTCAACCATTTACTTGTTAGCTGTCTCTGGTTAAGCTATGATGCCTCGCTGAGCCTCAGAGTTGCCGGCTGTAAAGTAGGGAAGTTCATATTCACCTCACACTGTTGTTCTGAGAGTTCAGTGAGATAATGCCTGTAAATCATTTAGCACAGTGTCTGACACACAGTAAATGCTGAAGAACTTGGTGGTGGTGGTGGTGGTGGTGGTGGTGGTGGTGGTGGTGGTGGTGGTGGTGGTGGTGTGTGTTTTCAAAACACCTAGTGGAGATCAATTATGGGACAGCATCCTACTTTCCAGCCTGGTGCTAAAGACAGCTCCAACAGCCATGGACCAAACATCTGGGTAAAAGGCTTTACCCCTCTTCCTGAGATCTTTTTGTCCAACACTTGCCGCTGTTTTCCTGAAACTGTTTTATGTATGTTTTTATCCTCCCATTTTAGCCAATTCTGTGGCATATGGCAGAGGCTAGATGCAAGTTGGAAGAATGTCTGTGCCACTCATGTGACACTCATATGCTGTCTTGTATTTTTAGTCTTCTTATATTGGCAACTAGACTTGGCTGAGAGCAAAAATGGAATCAACTTTTTTTTTTTTTTTTTCTGGTATTTGGCTCTGTGCCTAGAACTGTGTTGGACACAGAGAAGCTGCATTGTCTCCAGTCATCATCGTAAACTCCCAGTGAAGAAGGTTCCGTTAGCCCCTTATAGAGATTAGGAAACTGAGGCTAGAACCAAAGTAACAGAAAATGACAAGACCAACCAAACCAGGGTCAGAAGAGGCTCTTCAAAGATGGAAGGCAGGGCTATTTTCCCAGAAAAAAAATCCCAGCTGGAAATCAATGTACTCAGCAATAGGATTGAACCTCTGTGTGCCTGTGCTGAGTAAATGCATGAAACCCTTGGCCTACAGAGTTGAATAAAGGAGCAGATGAACAGATCCAATGATCAATTAATCATTTGGGTTACAGAGATGAATACATAATCAGATGAATAGATCAAATGAACACATAATCCTTATCCTTTAGGACCTCACAGGAGACAAAGGATGAACAGACAACAATAACGTAGGGTGCTAAGTGCACAGATAGGGAATTATGGATGAACTGAAGGTAGAGTCGGCTGAGTCTGGAGGGCTCCTCAAAGGGGGATGACTTGCAAGATTCAGAGCTACTCAACAAAGTTAAGTTAGCATGCATTTTGCCCTCCTCCTAGGGCAGAGTGTTGATGCTGGGGTGGGGAGGGCGCTGGAAGTGCTTTGTGCTGAAGATAAACTTACATGGTTTATTAAATAGTTAACTCCCTTAGGTCAAGGAGGAGGACCTGTCCCTTATACAGAGCCTGGCACACAAGGAACATCATTAGTGCTGGGTGAAGGAATACTATTTTCACATCAATAGCAAACCTTTTGAACTCTTACTCTTACTTTCAGACACCGTGATACATGCCTTATATTCTTAATTTTATTTATTTTATATATTCTCAGAGCTAAAACTGATGCTCTGAGAGGCCAAGCAATTTGCCCAAGATTGCACAGTAAGTCATGGAGAAGAACTCACGCACGCCTGCCTGGCCATAAACTCTGTGTGCATGGTGCTGCTCTTCCAGAGGAAACTGCTTCATGCCCAGCCTAATCCATAGTTAAAGATGACCCTTTTGTGATCTGGACCTCTTATTCCTAGACCTGGCATCCTGCCTCAGCTTGCTTGAAGCAACTGTCCCCCTTGAGAACACATGAAGAAGTCCCTTCTCTATCAGAAGCCTTTCCTGTCAACGGCTTTTCTTTTTAGTCGTGGAACTCATCACAGGTATTTTCCAAAAAAGAAAGCTAGGGGAATCACATTTCAGTCTGAATGTAGAAAGACAACAAAGACCATAACTCAGAGCTAAGTTTGAATGGCTGGGAGCCCCTCAGCCTCCCTCTCCTGGAGTGGTTTACACAGTCCACAATCTGCTCCTGGTGACAGGCATGGCATGTTTGTCTTTGTTACAGAAAACACTTCCCAAGGGAGTCCTAGGCAGAGGGATATCCACCCTGTGACATGCACAGCATTTCTGAGAGGAAAAGATAGGGATACCTGAATAAAGTGCAGGCCAAGGGCCCCTGCCAACTCTGGCTTGAGTGCCTGGGCAGTTTCCTTGGTCCAGCCTCTGAGCAGTAAAGATGCAACTACTTTGGAGCAGCAATAAACATGACTTCAACAGGCTGTTGTGCAGTTCGAGGGCTCTCCATTTGTATCTAATAAGAGTCTGAGTTCTTATTAACTCCGGTGATGTGTTAATTTTTCAACCTGACATTTTCTGCTCTAATAGATTCTTGTAATGATTACTAAATTAAAGGCTGCATTGGAAGACTAATGTTTAGGTTAAAATGCATCACCTAAGGGGGTGGGAGCCATAAGCATCCTTTCCCTCCTACGGGAAAACCTCTCATTTGCAGTTCTTTGCTAACCCAATTAAGTGCTGAAGTAGTTACCCTAGAGCCTGCTTTTTATTTCCTGTGAAACAATCCAACTAATCCATATTCAGTAGCTTCCAAGAAAAGTCTTATTCCAACCACTCATGAAGAAACCAGCTTCTTTGAATCTAGATAGAACATTTAGAACTCACAAAGAGCTGTCTTGACAGAAAATGCAAGAAAATGGTTCATTATTACCCTCCTTGGTTTTTGAGGGAAATAATTCACTGGGATAAAACCCTATAAGGATTGAGAATTTACTGTGGAACAACAGAAGTGAAGGAAGATGCTATGCCACATCCCATCCGTTTATAAATAGGGTGTTAGATCTCCCCTTGCACCCAAATTAGTTACAAAACAAAAATGCGCCTACTGAGTAAGGTGGAAGGGAACACTGATTTTACTTGAGGAATCAAAGTTCCCAAGAGATTAAGTAACAGCTATTAAGTGGCAGAGCCAAACACCCTTCTTAGTCCATTGCACCACTAGCTAGCAGAGAAGAATTGTCACCACAGAACTCTTGCATGTCAAGGAATAGAAGCTCAAAATTGTTCCTCCTACCCATAAATTTAGAAAGCATTAATTGGTACATCAGACATTCTTATTTATTGGTGGTGATGGGTTAATGCAAAGATGAACAACCAAGAACATCCATGGAAAGCAAAAAATAATGCAAACACACTTTTACCTCCGTAGCCTCATTTCATGTCAGTGAAATTGATCGGTCAAGCTATTAACAAAGTTAAGCGATAGGTTATTGTGAACATGTCACTGAGCTGGCTACTAGGGAGTATGCAGACATGTTAAAGGTGATTTCTGCCTTCAAGGAGCTTACAATCACATTGGGGGAAATTAAGACATGAGACCAATAGTGAAACAAGTTTTTTATGATTAAGTGCATTATGTGGATATGTGGAGCTCTCTTAATTCCAGTCTCCCCTTGCTGTTGTACATAAGCTTCTGTATTATAAAGTTATCAGGTTGTTTTGTTTTTGTCCCTTTCACTCTCCTCTGAAGTCAGAGGCTGTGTCTTTTTCACCACTGTGCTCCTGAACAGCATAGAACAATATTACCTGAAGCATAGAAAGCACTCAGTAGTTATTTGTTTAATACATAAATGAATGGTTCCAGCCATAAGCGATCTGATTATTCAGAAAAAGAGAGCCTGCATTATGAACTGGGTATAGGCAACCACCAAAGTACTACCTAAGTGGGTCCAGAATGATAGTTAAGTCAAGATTATAAACCACTCCTCCAAGCCAGGCATGGTTCACACTTTGAGCTTTCTTCTCAAGTCAGATGTTTTGCCAATTATTTACCTTCCTTTTTATTTGACTGTGTCGGTGTCCATTCTTAAATCTTTTAAGGTAGAAAAATATCTTTTTTTTTTTGTTTTTTGAGAGAGAGTGCAGT